CGCGGCCAGGATGAAATGTTGTGAAATGTTGTAGAATGTCGTGTTTTGACAGAAATTGTCTCGTAGTCAACGACTTGTAGCTGATATCGGTATAGGTAGTTAAATCTGATAATACCACCGTCGCATATTTTGAATAATGTCTTGTAGTAAACGTAAGGCAAAGTTCGAAAATCTCCGCCAAAAGCCAGTGTTTTACATAGAATAAAGGGGTACGTTTTTAAAGAAACTGTGGTGCTGCGTCGGTGGGAGAGTATAGCAGGTAATTTAGTGTTAACAACTGAGTTGAAAACGTAAATTGGCCACCGTAAAGAGTAAAAAAGCTGACATTTCGAGCGTTAGTCTTTCGCCAGAGCGATGGCGAAGGGTTTACGCTCGAAAAGTCAGCTTTTTTACTCTTTACGGTGGCCACCCCTTTTGTTCCGACAGACGGTCCACAAATAAACTCCTTACTTCTGCTTCTACCTCATTGCAAATCAGATGGTAGTGTGTTGTCTTTATCACTTTTTGTGTTAAAAAATTAATTACCCTACGAATTCATATTCTGACAGGTAGTTCCTTTACCAACCAAACCCTTCAAATCCTCGGTGAATACCGCAAAGTAACAAGTCATTTCTAGAAGGCAAAGTAACTTTAACTCTCTCGACGTTTTTATTGATAATCAGGTGGTTTAACAGCGTTGGTTACTTAACTCACGATTACAATTTCATTGTCCGTACATCTTTAAGCCTCTCCTGCTTTCAGGAATGTATGTTACTTTTCCAGAGACGGCTTCTAATCGGTGCTAAAAAATTGTTCTAAAACCTGATCTTTTTTTCACTGTAAGCAAAAGCAATACATGAAATTTTATTTGACGAGAGAGAAGATTAAAATAGACCAGTATAATGAAACACGGAAACATGCAAGAAAAAGGACCTCAACCGACTTCTACCAACATATTGTGTACACATGTTGCAAATGCTAAATGCTATCGTAACTTCTGAGTAAAACAAGAGATAAATACGTGTTTAGATATCTTTTTTTTCAGCGAGTGAGTTTTTTTTTTCCAATTTTACCGAACTAGTTCACAATAGTCTTTACGATCTCGTGGAGTAACTGAACTTTTTTTTCTGCTTAGTTTTGCTGTCTTTTCTTGCTATCTGCTTATTCCTGCTCGAAACTACAAATCTAAGTGCTACATAGAACATTTACAATTATATTTTAGTTAAGTCACTGCCTGTGTCATATCAAGTAGTTTTACTGCTCTGGTTTTGCTGGGACGTTCTTGCTCTCATCATCCTCACCCATTGTGTCTCGGTATTCTTTAGCTTCCTCAAATGTTTCTTTAGAGAGAGCAGATGGTTCATCTGGAGCGATCTTACTTTCCTCTTCTTCTTCTTCCTTTTCTTCTTCTTCTCCTTCTTCTTCTTCCTTTTCTTCTTCTTCTTCTTCTTCTTCTTCTTCTTCTTCTTCTTCTTCTTCTTCTTCTTCCTTTTCCTCTTCTTCTTCTTCTTTTTCTTCTTCTTCTTCTTCATCTTCTTCTTCTTCTTCTTCTTCTTTTTCTTCTTCTTCTTCTTCATCTTTTTCTTCTTCTTTTTCTTCTTCTTCTTCTTCTTCTTCTTCTTCTTCTT